CTATCCTTGTTTTCCCCTACAATGGGACCCTTGAACCCTTAAAGAAAATATCATCATCTGTAAACCACAAGAGCTTTTTCTTTTCTCTGTTAAATAAACCAACTGCCGTGGAAAATGAACCCTAGTACTCAACAATCATGACACTGTTAAATGCATTCACTAACTTTAACCTCTAAGCCACAGAGAAACTAGAACTAAATTATTTAGTTAAATATTAATTTTATAAACTGACGACTGAAACCCTTGCTTGTAGATAACAATAACTAGTAAACTGAACAAATTGGTAAAATGTTACTTTTCAAGTGATGTCTGGAACTCCTGGAACCCACTGAGAATAGCCTGGTCAGCAATGTGCAAGGCCCCACAGACTACCCCCAGAAGGAGGTCTGGCTTCTCTGCTTGTACCTTCTCTGCAATCAGCTTGTCCAGCCACGCTGTCGTTATGCCATTGCTCTGATATGTCTCTGTTTCAAGCAGCTTGATGAGGTATTCTACAGTGGTACGGAAGTCACCACGAATGGACAGCTCTTTCAGAGCCACCACAAGGTTCCTGCAATACACAGAGGATGGGGTTACTAAATGTTGAAAATAAGAATTGACATCACGGCACTCAGGACACCCCCAAAAGTGCTCTGTCCCCACTCTTCAGTAGCAAGCGAAGAGTTCCAATTCGGAAGGTACCAGTAACCAGTCAGGTTACTGACAAGACTAACATCTTTTATCTTTTTTTTTAATTAGCTTCGTATAATTTCTGCAATAAAAGAATAGCGTTATGTGCCTTGCGTGCACATGCTTTTGCATGGTGCTTATATCATATGAATTGACAGGCTAAACAAACATTCTTACAAAACACGGCACCATAAAGAAAAAAATGACATATTTTCCAACAAAAGTTTTCAACCTTTTTACCTGAATAAGTGGCAACTTAATGTATAATTAATGCATGTGTTATTCTATTTATTAGATTTTTAACAGTATAGGTACAAACTGCTTATCTGCTCATAAAAACAAAATTGTCATTGGCTTGTTAAATTTATAAATAGTTTTTATGGGCACTTACAAAAGAACAAGAGCATAATGACCTATGCTGACCAGCAAGACACTTGATAACGATAATCATGATAGGGGGTCTTTGTTGCGAAGTGGTCAAGTCTATCTTGCGATCTGAAGGTCAAGGGTTAGTTTCACAGCTGCAGCGTTCAGTTCACAAGTGTAATTTTATAGAGAGTCCTAGGGATCACCGCCAGAGCTATGGTGTGTGTGTTTTGTTCAACGCTCTCGGCGGACAACTACTGGTTCTGCTGAGAGATACCTACACACATGGAATAAAACCCAGTGCAATGAAATCAATCCTCTTTACTAATAAATTTTTTTCTTTTAATGATAATCGATTTTCTCTACCCAAAATGATTAATCTGCTATGATTAGTGTTAGAATAATCTGACAGTCAAAATCAAGTAGTCTGTCCTTTCTCAAAACTTACTCTCTTGCATCTTCTCTATCCTCTCCCCAAGAGAAACAATGACCAAACTGTGAATCAGCGAACTCGTGGAGACCACCTGACGCAGTAACACTGAAATAGCCCCAGACATTCTTGCTACTGCGGAAATTCAACTCTTGAACTGTGCCAGAACTGGGTTTAAATCCCTGAAAAAGAAAAAAAAATCAAACAATTCATCAGAATGAACACAGAAAATTGGTTGATAAACAGATAACATAATAAGAACTCAAATACTTTTTTCTATATATTTCTGTGTGCACATAGTGTATGTGTTTGCATGCTTGCAAGTGATGATTGAGTGTGTGTGCGTGTCTGTGTGTGGGGAGAGAGAGAGAGAGAGAGAGAGAGAGAGAGAGAGAGAGAGAGAGAGAGAGAGAGAGAGAGAGAAGAAAGAGAGGAGAGAAAGAGAGGAGAGAGAGAGAGAGAGGAGAGAGAGAGAGAGAGACAGACAGAATGACAGAGAGAGAGAGAGAGACAGAGACAGACGGTGGGGGGGGGGGGGGGGTTAATTAAAAGCAAATAGGAACAGAGAGTGACAAGAGCTGAAAGTTCACCAAGAATTTAGGTCATGTTTATAACAAAGAAAGCAAATAATTGAATTCCACTCCACAAACGGTCACAACATGGAAGGGCCCCGAACAAAGTTTCTTTATAAAGCAAACACTATTTTAAAAACAAGAACCATACCTCATCTGGGTTTTCACTGGTGATCCTGGCTGCAATAACATGACCCCTGGGGCTTGGCTTGTTTTGCGGGTTGTCAAAATCAATTTCTGAGTTGCCCCATGGATCCAAGCCATACAAGAGTCTGATATCTTTTATGCGATAGAGTGGCAAACCCATAGCGACCTGATAAAAATTAAAGCACATAATATTAGTAATCAGTAATCAGATGGAGAGATAAGGTCCAGACAGACCTGCGAACACTTGGTGTCACTAGTTGGAAAGAGAAGGCCAACCAGAGAGATGAATGGAGGGGGGGGGGGGGGGGGGGGTTGATATCTGCAGCAAGAACCTCAAGGGCTTGGAATGCTGAAGAAGAAGATCAGTTATCCAATACTGTGTCATTAAATAATATAACTAATAAGGAACATATAAGCTGTAGTCATGCACTGTAATTTACTTTTCTTTTGTCCATTATTTCCAACGAAACAAAGAGTTGATTGGCATATCTTCTTTCTTTACCCCACAACCAATTACTGAATGCTTGTTCTCATTTATACTCACTTCCATCAGACGGTTTTGTCATCTCTTACTCCTTGTTCTCAAAGCCTCTGGAATGCAGCACATTGAGTATGTCTGCCATGTTTATGCTTCCTCCTTCTTGGCTAACCACTAAAGACAAGGCCAGTCTGTTGGCTCTTTCCTATTCTTTCATCCCGGCATATATAACTGAGAGAATGCTCCTTGAGCTGGGACTTCTAGATGCAGTCAACCAATTCTAGTCATAGTTTGGATCTTTTTAAGCATGCTCAGTAAGTCTGTCACTATCAGTGCAAGTGCCCATTGTGACAGCTGCTATCTCCCTGGTCATGCTAGAATTAGGTGAACCAAGTGGCACAATTAATCAACAATCCTTTGAGCATGAAACAAACAGTCTGACCATTTGACAATAAATGACCTTATAAAGAAATTTCTTGCAGAAGAATACTGTATGCCAGGGCTAATCAAATGGGGCCTAAGGACTGAATCTGGCCCTAAGACGCCTAGCAAGTTGTCCATGGATCGTTGCCAACTGTATGAATGATACGTCTATGGTAGGACTCAAGCCCGTGACGATCCCCATTTTCATCATTATGCCCCCCCCCCCCCCCCCCCCCAAAGTAACACATGTGAATTAAAAGCTCTGGGTATACACTAAAAGTAATGAATGAATCCACCTGTGCTAAGGTAAAGTTAATTCAACACGATACACACCTGCAACTGGGCAGCTGGCAAGTTAACATCAGCAACCATCTCAGTGCAAGGATGTTCAACTTGCAACCTTGGGTTCAGCTCCAAGAAGTGGAATGTGTCTTGGTCTGCATTATACAAGTACTCCACAGTTCCAGCACTGACGTAGCCTACCATCTTGGCCAGGGTGACTGCAGCCTGGCAAGAGATTTATATTTACAGACAAGGAAATAGGACTGCTAGAAAATGCCACAATCAATGTACAGCAAATGACGTGAAGACATTTTTTTTTTATGTAGGTCTGAAGAAAACTCAAAGCCTTCATTCCTTACCATGCCAACCACACAACACTTTCAGAAATTAAGGACTTTTTCATTCTTTCCATCAACAGTATTCTAAATGTACAGAATTAGCCCCCACAAATATATACACAGTACTGAAATCATTTTTAGCTTCTGTTCCATTCAAATATTGTAGCACCAAATTTCAAGGCTTTTCAAGGTCTCTTTAGTTTTTTCAAGGTCGTCACGGGGGTAATACTTAACATTCTTAGTGCACTCATGGTGTGCTATTTATACATATACAAATGCAAATGCATGCATGAACATAACAGGAATATATTTAACATAAACACAAAAATAACGTTGAAAACTCACCACAATAATGTACGCTTGCTAATATTTCATATGTATTCTTGCCTTCATAGACACATGAGAGAAATGAAAGTTGAACTACACAAATAAATATAACCTCACATTAAATCACGAGCTGACTCACTTGAAATAAAATATTTACACATAGTCCATAATATACTTAATCACTGAATATACAATATTTACACACACCATCCATTGCTTTTAACTACTCCTGTCTCTGGATCTCTAACTGTTTTTCGACAATCTGTTTGTCAACAATTTTAATTAAATCTTCCTTGTCTCTGTCTTCCGTAAACTGTTTGAAACAGAAATAAGGGAGATGTTGCGCTGTTGTTCAGCCTGCAAAGCATTTTCATCAGCAGCATCAGTGATGGTTTTAACATCCTTTTCTAAAGCAAGTTTCCTTCTTTTTAGGGTCTGCAGTTCACTTTCAAATAATTTTCGTTTACTGCTTTTTTTGTGTTGTTCAGTCTTCTCCTTCTGACTGTCTAAATACAACATATATCTACTGTGGGCACTGCTGGCACTGGTTAACATCTTTGGTGTTATCTCAATGTTGTCTACCCCACCCTGATTTCTTATATGATCAACTATTACTCTTCGTGATATTAGAGTTCTTTCAGCCATGTTATATTCTTCCATTTCTTTATTTACCGAAAAACCCCTTTCAACAGTTGCTTGTCCATGGGACAACATTAATAACATTTGAACAACACTCCAAACATTTTGAAACTCATTTCTGCCTGATAACAGGTCATGGTAAAATGAATCAAGTCTGTCTGTTTCCCTTGAAAAAGCAGACAGTGATCCATTGACTGCCGACTGCTCAATAAATGTAACAAATTCAGAAATAACAGCGTCACATTCAGTTGCATTAAATTTCCTTGATTTCACCAAGGTTTGTAAAATTCTTTTCAGCTTCTTTGCTGCATTGGCTTTGTCTTGAATAATTATGCTTGGATCAAGACAGGCCAAATCTTCACTAATAAATACTGCAGTGGAGATTTGGCCAAAAATTTCTCCATAAATGCTACCATTATTAATTTACAATCATTCTTGAAATTCAGAATTTGAAGATCAGTTACTTTTCTCTCTCTCTTCAAATCCTTAATTACTGAATCTGCCACAAAACCAATATCTACTGCATGACCAGTGACATGATTCTGGGGGTCATTCACACTAAAATTCAAAATATCACTTGTACTGGAAAGATTAGCAATAATTTCCTTCTTTACAAATCGCCTTAAAACAGCAAAGGTAAGATTATGTAAATCTGTAAACAGGAAAGGAACCATTGGATTATCAGTCTGATACTTCCGAAGGAAAGGCTCAAGCTGCTTACTAAAAGAAACAAAAAATGCCAACTTAGAAGATAAAAACATGTCGTTGTTGACTGCTGTTCTAACAGTTTCAAAAGATTCTGTTTGTGGCTGTGTTATTTCCTTTTTTGCTGCAGAGTCACAGAACTTCTTAAAATGCGGCAATATGTCAAAAGCTCCCTGTGCTACTTTAGAATTTTCAAGCCATCTATGGGCACAAAACTTCAAAGGTGCTTGTGTACACTGAGACGTTTTGAAATAATCCTCATGCCTGGCTGGAGTGTCTTCAAGTAATCTATACATGGATTTAAGCACTTTCTCCAATCCCCAGCCTGCTGCAACCATGGCTGTTTTACAAGCATCATGAACTTTGTGTAACCCACAGCTGCCAACATTCAGTAACTCTGTGCCATAGTTTTCACCAAGTAACATTCACTTTGTCATGAAATGACCAGTTTACATTCGGCCCATCCATCGAAAGCTGTATCAAATAGGCCAAATTCAATGTGGACGTTGCATCTTCAAACGCAGATTGCATATCAACAGCTGTGGCATGGCCAAGAAATTTTGATGTCAAATAATTTGTTTTGATGACATCAGCATCCCAAAATCTGACATGGAAATCCATTTGTTTCAGCTGAAATGATTTGTTCATACTTTCATCAAACAGGAGGACAAAATTTCTCTTGAACAATTTAGCTTCCAGTAACGAAGTGAAATATGGGGCTAGACCAAATGAAACCAGGTAGGAACATTTTCTCTCAGACAAAGAAAATTTCTTTGCAATTGCACTGTCTGGAAACATTCTCTGGAAAATTGTATTAATGCCTGTGTTCGAAACAAAGCTGTGATGTCTATTGATTGAAAATAAAGTCCAAACAATCTCGGCTTTTAAAGAATCTTCCTTACACACCAAAGAAAGGATGTCTGGAGTGTGTTTGATGGTGGTGGTTGATGATGTTGATGCCACAGAGGATGACGGTAAAACATCATGAATTCAATGTGGACGTTGCATCTTCAAACGCAGATTGCATATCAACAGCTGTGGCATGGCCAAGAAATTTTGATGTCAAATAATTTGTTTTGATGACATCAGCATCCCAAAATCTGACATGGAAATCCATCTTTAGGACATACATGGCTGGACCTTTAGGACATACATGGCTAGACCTATAGGACATACATGGCTAGGACATACATGGCTAGACCTAGACCTTATGGCTGGACTTTAGGACATAGGACATAGGACATGGCTGGACCTTTAGGACATACATGGGCTAGGACATAGGAGACATGGCTAGACCTTTAGGACATACATGGCTAGACCTATAGGAGGATACATGGGCTAGACCTATAGGACATACATGGCTAGACCTATAGGACATACATGGCTAGACCTATAGGACATACATGGCTAGACCTTTAGGACATACATGGGATGGCTAGACCTATAGGACATACATGGGCTAGACCTATAGGACATACATGGCTAGACCTATAGGACATACATGGCTAGACCTATAGGACATACATGGCTAGACCTATAGGACATACATGGCTAGACCTATAGGACATACATGGCTAGACCTATAGGACATACATGGCTAGGACATACCTATAGGACATACATAGGACATAGACCTATAGGACATACATGGCTAGACCTATAGGACATACATCTAGACCTATAGGACATACATGGCTAGACCTATAGGACATACATGGCTAGGACCTATAGGACATACATGGCTGGACCTTTAGGACATACATGGCTGGACCTTTAGGACATACATGGGACCTTTAGGACCATGGCATAGGACTATAGGACATACATGGCTAGACCTATAGGACATACATGGCTAGACCTATAGGACATACATGGCTAGACCTATAGGACATACATGGCTAGACCTATAGGACATGGCACATGGCTAGACCTATAGGACATACATGGACCTATAGGACATACATGGCTGGACCTAGGACATACATGGCTAGACCTAGACATGGCTACATGGCTAGACCTATAGGACATACATACATGGCTAGGACATACATGGCTAGACCTATAGGACATACATGGCTAGACCTATAGGACATACATGGACCTAGGACATACATGGCTAGACCTATAGGACATACATGGCTACCTATAGGACATACAGGGTGAGACCTTTAGGACATACATGGCTAGGACATACTAGACCTTAGGACATACATGGCTAGACCTATAGGACATACAGGGCGAGACCTATAGGACATACATGGCTAGACCTTTAGGACATACATGGCTAGACCTATAGGACATACATGGCTAGACCTATAGGACATACATGGCTAGACCTTTAGGCAGGGTTCATAGCCAAATTTACCAACCAATTTCAAGGCTTTTCAAGGTCTCTTTAGTTTTTTTCAAGGTCGTCACGGGGGTAATACTTAACATTCTTAGTGCACTCATGGTGTGCTATTTATACATATACAAATGCATGCATGAACATAACAGGAATATATTTAACATAAACACAAAAATAACGTTGAAAACTCACCACAATAATGTACGCTTGCTAATATTTCATATGTATTCTTGCCTTCATAGACACATGAGAGAAATGAAAGTTGAACTACACAAATAAATATAACCTCACATTAAATCACGAGCTGACTCACTTGAAATAAAATATTTACACATAGTCCATAATATACTTAATCACTGAATATACAATATTTACACACACCATCCATTGCTTTTAACTACTCCTGTCTCTGGATCTCTAACTGTTTTTCGACAATCTGTTTGTCAACAATTTTAATTAAATCTTCCTTGTCTCTGTCTTCCGTAAACTGTTTGAAACAGAAATAAGGGAGATGTTGCGCTGTTGTTCAGCCTGCAAAGCATTTTCATCAGCAGCATCAGTGATGGTTTTAACATCCTTTTCTAAAGCAAGTTTCCTTCTTTTTAGGGTCTGCAGTTCACTTTCAAATAATTTTCGTTTACTGCTTTTTTTGTGTTGTTCAGTCTTCTCCTTCTGACTGTCTAAATACAACATATATCTACTGTGGGCACTGCTGGCACTGGTTAACATCTTTGGTGTTATCTCAATGTTGTCTACCCCACCCTGATTTCTTATATGATCAACTATTACTCTTCGTGATATTAGAGTTCTTTCAGCCATGTTATATTCTTCCATTTCTTTATTTACCGAAAAACCCCTTTCAACAGTTGCTTGTCCATGGGACAACATTAATAACATTTGAACAACACTCCAAACATTTTGAAACTCATTTCTGCCTGATAACAGGTCATGGTAAAATGAATCAAGTCTGTCTGTTTCCCTTGAAAAAGCAGACAGTGATCCATTGACTGCCGACTGCTCAATAAATGTAACAAATTCAGAAATAACAGCGTCACATTCAGTTGCATTAAATTTCCTTGATTTCACCAAGGTTTGTAAAATTCTTTTCAGCTTCTTTGCTGCATTGGCTTTGTCTTGAATAATTATGCTTGGATCAAGACAGGCCAAATCTTTCACTAATAAATACTGCAGTGGAGATTTGGCCAAAAATTTCTCCATAAATGCTACCATTATTAATTTACAATCATTCTTGAAATTCAGAATTTGAAGATCAGTTACTTTTCTCTCTCTCTTCAAATCCTTAATTACTGAATCTGCCACAAAACCAATATCTACTGCATGACCAGTGACATGATTCTGGGGGTCATTCACACTAAAATTCAAAATATCACTTGTACTGGAAAGATTAGCAATAATAATTTCCTTCTTTACAAATCGCCTTAAAACAGCAAAGGTAAGATTATGTAAATCTGTAAACAGGAAAGGAACCATTGGATTATCAGTCTGATACTTCCGAAGGAAAGGCTCAAGCTGCTTACTAAAAGAAACAAAAAATGCCAACTTAGAAGATAAAAACATGTCGTTGTTGACTGCTGTTCTAACAGTTTCAAAAGATTCTGTTTGTGGCTGTGTTATTTCCTTTTTTGCTGCAGAGTCACAGAACTTCTTAAAATGCGGCAATATGTCAAAAGCTCCCTGTGCTACTTTAGAATTTTCAAGCCATCTATGGGCACAAAACTTCAAAGGTGCTTGTGTACACTGAGACGTTTTGAAATAATCCTCATGCCTGGCTGGAGTGTCTTCAAGTAATCTATACATGGATTTAAGCACTTTCTCCAATCCCCAGCCTGCTGCAACCATGGCTGTTTTACAAGCATCATGAACTTTGTGTAACCCACAGCTGCCAACATTCAGTAACTCTGTGCCATAGTTTTCACCAAGTAACATTCACTTTGTCATGAAATGACCAGTTTACATTCGGCCCATCCATCGAAAGCTGTATCAAATAGGCCAAATTCAATGTGGACGTTGCATCTTCAAACGCAGATTGCATATCAACAGCTGTGGCATGGCCAAGAAATTTTGATGTCAAATAATTTGTTTTGATGACATCAGCATCCCAAAATCTGACATGGAAATCCATTTGTTTCAGCTGAAATGATTTGTTCATACTTTCATCAAACAGGAGGACAAAATTTCTCTTGAACAATTTAGCTTCCAGTAACGAAGTGAAATATGGGGCTAGACCAAATGAAACCAGGTAGGAACATTTTCTCTCAGACAAAGAAAATTTCTTTGCAATTGCACTGTCTGGAAACATTCTCTGGAAAATTGTATTAATGCCTGTGTTCGAAACAAAGCTGTGATGTCTATTGATTGAAAATAAAGTCCAAACAATCTCGGCTTTTAAAGAATCTTCCTTACACACCAAAGAAAGGATGTCTGGAGTGTGTTTGATGGTGGTGGTTGATGATGTTGATGCCACAGAGGATGACGGTAAAACATCATGAAAGTAACAACAATTCACTAATAAATTTTGTGTACCTTTATTTTATGTCTGGGGCAAACAGAACACCACATATTTTTTTTAAACAGTATAAACTATTCAAGGAAAAAAGGATTACACTTGACAGAATAAATAGCAGTCTGCAGTGCTATAAATATATTTTTATTTTTAAGTTATTTTTTGTTTGTTTGAAGCACTAATACTAATGACTATGATAAACAAGCTGATTTAAATCTAGCACGTATTTTAATTTATAACATCAATGACATGAAGTGAAGCGTAAAAGTAAAGATACTGATCCGCTTTAGCTTTACATTCATAATCAAAAGAATAATTATTATAACTAAAAAATAATAAATTAATAATGTAATAATCAAATTGCATCATTGCAATTAGCAGAAAGTGAAAGTAACTGAAGCTATATAAATGATAACGATTTCGAACACTAAGAAAACTAAATTAAGTGAATACTACTTACTTTTACTGAAACAAAAGACGTGATGCTGGTGTTCTCAGTCTGGGCTGAGACAAGTTCTTGGTGCTTTTTTCCACTTGCGTGTGAACGCAGTGCGGTTTTTTACATTGACTTCAAGTCTATGTCTTTTTTACATAGCTTGCATTTTGCGTGATTTTCGCTGATCCCCGCAGCTATCCAATTTTTAAAGTCAGGGATGTTTAACCATCCGAGCTGAAAACGACATCCAGGCATTGTGATGTAGGCTGTAGAGTATTTAAACGCACGACGAAGTCCCTCCGTACGACACAACGCAAACAAAGCAGACAAAGAGAACAATGAGATCAATTGCCCGCTCAACGTTTACCGGAAACGATCGTGAACGTTGAAAACGAAAGTAGCTGAAACTAGCCAAATCGCCGGAAAAAAAAGCCGAACTGCCGAAAATCGCAGGACTTCCGACGATCTCATTGCGGCGGTCAAAATTCACGGCTTTTTAAGGTCGGAATGTCTTTTATAAGCTAAAATTCCCGGTTCAAGGTCAACGGAAAAAAATCCCGGTAATTTCCCGATTTCCCGGTCCACTACGAACCCTGGCATTCATAGCCAATGCATCTTCAATGTCTTGTATCATCCTTTACAGAATCAGTCTGTATCTCATTTTCTGAAAATTACACCCTCCATCACCATTCTCTCCAGGCCACCATGTTTAACATGGCAAAAATGTTTCAGCTTTCAGGATGGGATGCTGTTTATGAGCCAATTCTTTTCGATGTTCAGATCATGCAAGATGATGCTTTTCTTTTTCTTCTTGGTCCATGGTATTTTAAGGCATTTTCTGTAGCATTTCAATTCAAAAGTTTGGATTTTTCTTTAAAGATTGAGTAAAAATACATGTCTTAAAACAACACGTTGCCATGGGAGAGATGAGACAAAAGGCAGTCTGAAATCTTCCCTTATTGTCTTCCTCTCTCTATCTCTCTTTCCTTAAATCTCTCCAGGTGTCACAATCAGAATACATGTGCTATAAACATTCGGTGGGCCACAAACTAATTAAAAGATTTTTGTCAAAGCAGAATGCCAATAAAGAAAGTTAAAGTGCTAACATTCTAGCAAAAATAGAATGATCTGAACATATGTTGTCATAGCAATCACCAAGTCACTCTGATATGTCTGGATCAACTACAAACTCTATGTGTGGATTCTATGGGCTTCATTTGGGAGTGGGGGGGGGGGAGAGAGAGAGAGAGAGAGAGAGAGAGAGAGAGAGAGAGAGAGAGAGAGAGAGAGAGAGAGAGAGAGAGAGAGAGAGAGAGAGAGAGAGAGAGAGAGAGAGAGAGAGAGAGAGAGAGAGAGACCCACTGCCCCACAACAAGCATGTCATAAAAGGAGATTAATCTGGGTGTTTCCTTCGAAGTCGAGGTACATCTGCCTGAGTGGCAAGAACCAAAAGTCTCCATTAAAAAAAAACCCAGATCTGTAAGTGGGTGTGGAAGCAAAACTCAAAGTGTTAGGACAAGACCATGGAAGCAAAACTCAAGTTCTGAAACAAATTCAATCATTAGTCCAGAAATGGACCAGAACCAGAATTTTCTGCCACACTTTACAGTTGGTAAACGCTCAAAAGAAGAACTACAAAAAACAAAAACAAAAAAGACAGCTCTTTCATTAAAAAAAAAAAACAAAGTTTTTTAAGCAGAAACTAAACACAACTGGCATAACCTACCTTCTCCATCCTTTCAAAGACATCAGGTTTGGCAATCACAGCAGGTGCTTCCTCAATGATTTTTTGATGTCTTCGCTGTATAGAACAGTCACGGCCGAAAAGCGAAATGGCATTTCCATATTTATCTGCCAACAGCTGTACCTCCAGGTGACGAGCCGCTGAGGCAAGTTTCATAATAAAGATGGGGGAGCCTGGAACTTCTTGCTGTACCTGGAACATGCAACAAAAATGTGTGACAATCAGAAGCAAGTGCAATGCAAAATTATTCTATTTCTTTAGTATTTTTCCAATCCTTGGGTCTCAAGTTCACATTCTGCCATGGTGCCAAACAAAACAGCTTGCTATTTAGAAAGGTGTTTAAAGAGAATCAGCTTCACTGCATTAGGTTTTATTTTATACAGCTCAGTCTCTCTCTTTACTGCTGTGAAGCACAAACTTCCTAATTCCAGAAACAATCCCCAGGTATCTCAAACACACTCGCTCTAAGGAAGTAGATAACTGACTCAGTCCCTGTGTGGGCTGCAAGACCTCATTTTGTCTTTAAAAAGCACAGACCTGCCTCTCCCCCTTTCCCGACAAGCATGTCATTAAAGTTGTAAAAGGCGACTAAACAGGGATGTTTCCTTCAAAGTCGGAATGCATCTGCCTGACAGGTAATCTGGTAATCTCTTTCTCTTTTATTCCTAGTTTCAGCTTCATAGCAAACGGGTCACCCCACACATGCTCCGCTCCTGTGCCAACGAAAAACTAACGCAGCTCACGGTGTCACGCCATGCACTCAACTCAGAAGCTGGGCGACGAAACTACATCCTTCCAGTCTACAAATGGAGCAAAAATGCAACGGCCACCGTCTGGAAAAATATTTGCCACGGCTTAAAAAGAAAAAAAAAAAAAAAAAAAAGTGGCCGTACCTAGCGTCCATTTTGACCGGAAGAATTATATGAGGGTTAATAAACGGTCACCCCAGCAGTACCCTCATTATTAGCTGGGGAAGGGACTTAGGACATTATATCCACCAGCAGGCGTCGTCCCTACAACAACCTGCCTGCCCTCGTTAACGACTGTTCACCCAACAGCCATGCAGTTCTTTGGCACGAAGGAGACACCTTGAACTTGGGTTTCGTACTGCCGACTCCCTACTAAGATGTTATTTTATGTTCTGTTATCACAATTAATGTCATTGCACATTGGGCATACCCATGCATGCTCCGTTCTCCGAAGCAGCAGCCACTCTAAAGTACTTCTACTAATTGTCCCCATGAGAAGCTGGTTATATTGTCTCCTTTCTCGGCCTCGAAGACGGCAAAGACGTGCATCACCATGCTTAACTCCCATGTCACGCAATCGTGTTAGTGTCAGGGATTCCTCATTCTCCACTAGCCCGGTTCGTACAGCGTTGACTATGTCTGCTCTGTCCATACTTTTTCCTGCAATCATTAGTGCAGTGCTTGCCAGTTGGTCTGCTCGCTCATTTCCCTCCACGCCCGCATGACCCGGTGTGTAGATCCAGGTTACAGAGGTTAAGTGCGATTTCCTGATGCTTTCTATCCATTCAGAGCGCATACTGCCTGTTGCTATCTTCTGAAGCATATTCATTGAGTCTGAGACAATTACTACCTGTGTGGCGGTTTGCTCGGATACCCATGCTAAAGCTCTAGAAGCAGCGGCTATTTCCATTGTCATGCTTGACGTGGTTGTCTGGTAAGCGCCGCTGTCCTCATGTATTGTTTTCCCCTTTCTTTGCGCTGTGTATGCCCATGCTGACCTTGATCCGCGCTTCACAGATCCATCTGTGTAGATGAGCCTGACAGGTAAGGAACCAACAGTCTGCATACAAGTAAGCCAGATATTTAAAAGCAAGAGCAAGCTGTGCCAACCCTGACTCTCCGGTCTTCTTTGGCACCCGATATTTTGATGAAGGGTCTGCGGAAAATGGTGCTTTGAGCAGTGACCCAGGGATCTGGTTTATGCTCAAAACTTGAAGAAAAGACAAAACGGATACAAATTTTCTTATTTTCGCTTGTCTGAGTGACACAACTGTGCTGCGCTTGTTTACAGTGTAGCTACAATATTTGTGCCTTTCAGCCAAAATACCCAACTTATCTGCCATTTGTCACCGGGTTATCCTTCCCGGGTGGTTTCACCGGACATGATGTAGCTTCATTTGTGTGGTTTCTTGTGTCTCTTTATCTACAGGTGTTGCCCCTGGAGAACCCATCCATGGCAACATTGTGTAGACTGGTCAGCCCTCAAGGGGCAGATCATGGGCATTTCCTGCCACCCAAATGCAAAGCTGACAAATAATGTACTTGTCCTAGGCTCACTCAAGAAATCACCAAGTCTTGCACATGACTGCTTAACATAACATCTGTATGTTGAGCTTTCCACTCAATCATGGGCTGTGGTCTTGGAGTTTAACAGAGTGCAGTCCACATGACTGGGACATTGGTGACAACACAAATAAGCAGATCTTCTTCAGCACATTAAGATACCTTAAATGTTGTTGCATCGAGACGCTTGGGATGAAACTATGGGAAAGCATGCATCAGGTTTGGCTTTTCCCAGTTGGTCCCGACACTCCGACATATGGGGCCAATGATAACAGACATTTTAACTCTTTTGCCAAAAAATACAATAATTGATGGTGAGCAATCGGAACCTGGTCCGTCAACCAGTAGGAGTTTTGGCAGTAGGAGTTTTTGCTGTCGGACTTTTCGTCCTCACACTGAGTTGGATGTGGCCAATGGCAGAGGACTTTCAAACTGTATCTGTCAGACAGTAGGACACTGTTCATGAAAAACTTTGCTGGTATGCTGTAGAGTGTAGTCAGTGACTAGCAGACGTTTGAGCTTAATCAGCAATTCAGCAGTGCTTCCGATCGATCACTAAACCACATTTGAACCCAGATTTGTCATATAGTAGGATATTCATTCCTTCAATGTCACAGCACATCTGTCTGAGAGGTGAGGAACCAACAGTCTTCATACAATTCAGCAGATCTGTAAAACGGACGTGCATGTAAAATTCAGGTTCTGGAACAAGACTAGAGTCCAGAAGCCGATGATAACCTGAACTTTCCAGTGGAGTTACCAGCTGCTGAAAGCTAAGAAGAAGTATGGACAATATCAGTGTTGCATTGAGGTAAGCTAATGAGAGCTGATGGATTACTGGTGTAATGGGGGATATTTTCGACCCAGTTTAGGATGGTTGGGGGGAAGGCCCAAAGCTGACCGAAAACACCGAGAAAGTCCAGATACTTGGATTAAACGAGAATCTGGAGATAGGTGACTAACCACTAGTTTATCACGGGGACCACGGTGATGCGACCCAAAGTCGCCACGGGAAAAGTAAAGGACCACCACGTGTTGTCACGTGAAAGGAACCCGTGGTATAAGTCAGACTTGACTCTGGTCAAGTTTAGTTTGTGTCGACCTGTTGGAGCGAGAGGACGAGCGTCTGAATGTGCGAATGTCTACGTGAGTGCCTGAGGAGAAAGGAGACCTGCCGACGAAATGTTAAGCTGAGATCAACCATGCCAGCGTGTGAGATGTCCAAACGTCAGTGTTGAATCCATGGGACCCATCGTTGCTTGAATGCCTGCAGAAGACTGTTCGTTAAAAAGCTGCGTGAGTTTGTGTACGAAAGCGGTTCAATTAGACATCGACTGGACGATTCTGTTTGTCGTAAGTTGTAATACGTCAATAAAGTAATGTCTCGTAAGCTCACATCGGTGTCGGCTTGTGCCAGGTGTGTAACGTGAAGCGTGTGATATCATCCAGCACACACGCATGAACACCGCCTAGACAACGAGTAGAAAGACAAAACCCATTCATTACAATTGGAGGCTTGAAAAACGGAGATAACCGGGCAACAGAACAGCAACGGCGAGATGATATCATGAGCTGCTACTTGCCACGCAGACGTTGAAGGGCCATTAGAAGTCAAACGACTGATATATAAGTGACGGAGTCTGCATGAGAGAGCACAGCTTGTGAAGTCACCGAGTAAAAACATCAGTTGCACAGTGAAAGCCGAAAGTTTTGATAGTTTGATCAACGGAGCAACGAAAAGTGATACCGGAGACTATCACGTACACGCAGATGAGGTTCCATTGAAAGTCTAAACGGAAAAATCGTGATAGACGGCCATATAAGAGACGATATCTGGTGAAACGCATAGTTGCTGGAATCACCGAACAGTTGCGACAAAAAATTTAACCCGTAACCGCCTGACGCTGGGTTATGTCGTCACGTGGGTGAAAGGTTAAAGGACACGTAGACTGCCCTGGGTTACGTGGCACTTTGCGTCGTTCTGCAAATTCATCAAGAAGCCTACGAGAAACAGATCAAATGGCTGTATGACATTTACGACGAAGAAGTTGTCCACTACGCGTCAACAATGACAGCGCGATACACAAGAAAGCCAAAAGCCACGAATAAATAAAAGGGCGAACACAATATTTCACGATCAACGAGTCAACTGAGACTTCCGGGTCGCCATTCATCACAGCGTGGATTGAGAAATATCTATCAACAGCGCTGAGAAATTGCCGTTAACCAGCAGTCCACTGGCAAAAGCTAGCAGAATTATCCTAATCTGCTACAACTGGCGAACTAGGTCACACAGCAAGTTTGAGTCAGTGTGTGCAAGCGGAACGACAGGCCACAGTGAGATTGTCAGCCAGGACAGAACAAGGTAAACATTGATTAAATTCAGCAAAACTGTGTTTAGGTTAGATATTCAGGACATATCAGAAGTAGTTGGAATTCGTAGTAATGTGTGATAATAAGCAGCAAGAAATATAACTATTATCGTGTACCGTGCCGGGAAAAGTAACTTAATCCGATATATTTACAGTGCTTTTGTCAAGTGACGATTCTTCAAGTGTATTTAGACAATCACAAGATTAATAGTGTTTCAAGTGACAGATTTTCAAGTGTGCGTACAATTTGGCGTTATTAATACACCGTTTCGGATTTACTTTAGAACCGACATCAATAGAACTAGAATTATTTATTAATTGAATTTATAGGTATTATGGGCGTATTTAATTGAATTTATTTCATTATATTGCAATAGTTTATTATTGTAATATTGATTTTTCTGATATTTTATTTATTAATAACTATATTATTAATCACTATTACTTGGTGGTTATATTATTTTACACCATAGTTATTTTTTTTTTATTTTGATTTATCAATTATTTA